GATTTATTGTGTGTATTTTATTGTTCTTGTACTTTTTGGAAATTGTTAGTTTTTATTTCATATTCATCTTATTTTTCTTTCCACATCAATTTGTGTCCAATTTTTTGCAATATCTTTCCCATAAATTCAAAGTTTATTGCTTTTGCACTTCTTGAAAAAAAATTGTGTAATGTGTTTATGAAATAACGGTTTAATTATTCCTTTGGAGGTCATAAATTAAGATCGATGTGTCACTGTTTAGAAATAATTCCGCAACTGTATTTGGTGATTTTGTCGAATCTATATAAATTGATGTCCTTTTCTAAAAATGATGCGTGTCTAATTCAGACACTTTGCTCAATGTATTCTTGGCTATTGCTGTTGATAATTTGGCTAATGCACAAGAATTGACCGCTGCCGAAGAGGCTGACGAAAGAGCGAACGAACTCTCCGATGAATCTGAAACAATCGATGAGCAGGTGAGTGTTCAATTTTTATCGCTCGATTGCGGTCTTTGAGAACTGTGCAACATCAGATGAGATTCAATGAAAAATGTTCGGAACTGGCTGAAATTGANATTGAGTTGATGAAAATTTTAGGATGGCGAGTGTGCGATTGATGTGGAAGGTAAAACCGCTGGTGAGCTTTGTCGTGTTCAGCGTGAAATTGAAGGTATGTTGCACCGACATTCTCTTTGCGTCCTATAGGATGTTGAATCGTTGAACATTCGTTTAATGCAGCAGAATGCCGCGGTAATGCTTGCAAATGCTCAGTGATGCCCGACGCATTTTCACAAAGAACAATACTTGCAAATTGCATGAACTGTTAGTCGTGTATGGATGTGATGAATGTTTGAGGCAGTCTTTGACCTGAATGAGTATGCACACGTCTGAGAAATATGACTATTAATATGTCCAGCATTCTGTTTCTAAGCTGTCCTGGAATTGTTCAACCCCATAAAACATGCAATCTCGAAATTCCATGACTTGATCTAACATTCATCTTCTAGCTTTAAGAACGCACCTATAGTGGCCAATTTATGAAAAGTGTCTTATCGTCATATATTCAGAAGTTAGCGTGGTTGATCTTTAGGCCAACTGTTTTAGTTTTACATGAGCAGCTTAAATCAAAAAATCGTATTACAGACGAATACGAAG